GAACAGAGACCACCTAGCTTGTCTAGAAGACAATCGTTTAGCATCTCCTATGTAATTTACATAGCTTAAAAGGGGGTCCTTTGAACCCTCTAAAAGATGTCGCCACTCCTTGAGAGCTAGAATAATGGCCAACAATTCCCTATTGCCAATATCATAATTGCGCTCGGCAGGAGACAAGTTTCTAGAGAAGTAACCACAAGGATGCAATCGAGTATCCTGGCTCTCCCTCTGGGAGAGAACTGCCCCTACCCCTGTCTCTGATGCATCAACTTCCAGTATGAAAGGTTTACTGGTGTCAGGATGTATCAATATGTCGGCGGAGGTAAACCGCTGTTTGAGAGTTTCAAAGGCTTCTATAGCCTTCTTAGACCATATCGTACTGCTAAACCCCTTGCGTGTCATATTGGTGATGGGGGGCTATTACTGAAGAAAATCCCTTTATAAACCTTCTGTAATAATTGGCAAAACCAATGAACCTTTGAATGGCTTTCAACCCAGTGGGTAAAGGCCATTGTAGAACCGATTCCAGCCTTTTAGGATCCATCTGAAACCCAGAGGCAGAGATATTATATCCCAAAAACTGTACTTCAGATTGGTGAAAGATGCATTTGTCTAATTTACAATAAATTTGATTCTTTAACAAGGTCTGCAGAACTTGTCTAACGTGATCGTGGTGAGTCTGAATGTCAGGAGAATAAATAAGGATATCATCCAGATAGACCAAGACAAACGAGTAAATGTAATCCCCGAGTACATAATTTATGAAATCTTGGAAAACCGCTGGAGCATTGCACAACCAGAATGGCATCTCTAGATATTCATAGTGTCCACTTCTGGTATTAAATGCAGTCTTCCACTCGTGGTTTTCCTTGATTCTCACTAAATTGTAAGCACTTCTAAGATCAAGCTTACTAAATACTTTAGCGCCTTGGAGTCTATCAAATATTTCAGCAATAAGAGGAATGGAGTAGGCGTTCTTAATGGTGATTTTGTTCAATGCCCTGTAATCGATACATGGGCGCAACTCACCGTCCTTTTTTAGATACAAAAAAGAATCCTGCCCCAGCAGGCGAGGATGATTTTCGTATGTGGCCTTTATTCAATGAATCCTTAATATATTCCTCGATTACTCTACTCTCCTGAGGTGACAGAGCATAGACAGCTCTATTAGGTGGAATAGAGTCGGGTAGTAAATTAATCGAACAGTCATAAGGTCTGTGAGGAGGTAGAGTATTCGACTGAGTTTTGCTGAATACTTCTTTAATGTTTTGGTACTGTATAGGGATTTCCGGGTTTTGAGGTGTACTAGTGGGTAATCCAATCCCACTCTTTTGGCAACATTCAATATACACCTTTCATAACAATCCTTACCCCATTCTAATATTTCCCCATTAGCCCAGTCAATATGAAGGTTATGCTTGTTAAGCCATGGAAAGCCTAATATGATCGGACAGGAAGGGGATGCAATAACCTGAAATGTAATCTCTTCCTTATGTAAGGCACCAATGGACAAAATAATGGGCAAGGTTTCGTGTGTAATCAATGTTTGTGAGAGTGGTCTCCCATCAGTATCTTCAACAGCTTGGGGTGATAGTCTCTCCTTGATAGGTTTAGTATTACCTTTAACAAATTGAACGTTGATGAAGTTTCCAGCGGCACCTAAATCCATCAGGGCTTTGCATGAAATGTTCTTCTTTTCAAAGGCAATAGAAATATCAAGGAGAAACCTATTTTTATCCATTCCAGAGGACGTTTCCATTACACCTAAGACCTGTCCCCTTAAGGTGCTTAGGTGCGGTAGTTTTCCGGACGTATGGGACAATTGTTTCTCATATGTCCTTTTCTACCGCAGTATAGACATAGGCCTTCTTTTCTCCTATATGGTCTTTCTGCTTCTGACAGTCTAGTGACCCCCAACTGCATGGGTTCGGGTTCGGACTGTACAGGAAATTCAGGGACAATAGGTTTGGAGAAGTGGGGTGCGCTAAAGGCATATTCATGTGTCTGGTCTTGTTTCTAGTAGCTTCTCTGGTTCTCAATCTATTATCAATTTGCATGACAAAAGTGATACATTCATTAAGCTTTTTGGGTAAGTCTTTGGCGGCAATCTCATCTAGCATAGTTTCAGATAGTCCCTTTTTAAATGCAGAGATTAACCCACTATTAGTCCAGTCCAGAGAGATAGTTGGTGCCTTGTATACTATAGGCGGAGGTACACAAGGCGAAGGTGAGACAGTAGGAGCAGCCGCAGGTTGCAGATCCGCTGTACGGGTAAGAAGCGTACTGAAGGCCTGGGCAAATTGATCCATGCAGTGATCATTCTCCCCTAGTTTCCTTTCGCAATCAGCTATGTGCTTACACAATTCTACAGGATCTATGGCCATGTCGTAATGTCAAGATTACAGAATGATCCAGCACGTAGAATTGTGTAACACAGAGGACTGATAGGTAACGTATACCGGACCTTAGAATGGCCGGACTAACGGACCAAGGAATAGTCAGGAATAGCAGAGGTCAAGGGAAACCGAAAGAGACACAACGATAAGTAAAAGCCAGGAGTCAGGGATGCCAGAAAACAGAGAAGTCAAATAACCAGAATTACCAGAATTAATAACGCGCTCTCGGACAACCACAAGGGAAACCATGACAGGGCACTGAGCAGGATGAGAACTGGGCCTAAATACCCCTCCTCTAGATCTGGTAGGCTGTAACTGGCCTTTGACCCCAAAGGCAGTTACCAGGTTCCCATTAGGATAATTGCTGCTCAGCAGTAACCCTTCTGTGGATTTGGTTGCTGCTCGGCACAACCTTTCCTGTGTGGACAGTAAATGCCATTAACCACATTTTTATAAGCGGATGAATACGTGACAGGTTCCTTCCACATCTACCTGACCAACATACTCAGATGTAAGGTCCTTTACTAGAGTTGAGCGGACACCTGGATGTTCGGGTCCGGCGGATTCGGCCAGACTTTGAAAAAAAAGTCCGGGTTCCGGCTCGAACTTGACCCCGAACTCCATTGAAGTCAATGGGGACCCGAACTTTTGGCCACAAAAATGCCTTTAAAAAAGTCCTGGAAAGGGCTAGAGGGCTGCAAAAGGAAGTAGGGTGGTAGTACAAGTGCCCTGCAAACAAATGTGGAATGGCGAAATCACTTAAAATAACATAACAATTAAAAATACAGCTGAGCCATAAAATAGCACTAGATGGAATCTTTAATTTTAGCTTTGGAAGAACATAAATCAAAATCTAAAGCATGGCTATCAGGAGGATCACCAGAATTATCCATTTGAGAGAGGGTTGGAGTGCAGGGTATTCTCTTTCATTGTTCAAACTGAGCTCAACTCCTGATGCATGGGGAAAAGGCCTTCACAAGCCTCTGCTATTGTGTACATAGTTTATAATAAGTGACCCATAGGTTGAGGAGGCGGTGACCGTGGCGGTGTAGGTGGAAGCGGCAGTGTAGGAGGTAGCCAACACTGTGTTTTTTTTGTTTTGTTTTTGGGACATATAAAAAAAACATTTGCGGCCTGCGGTGCATTTCTTGCAGTCCTGATGCATGGAGAAATGCTCAACTCCTGATGCATGGAGAAAAGGCCTTCACAAGCTTCTGCTATTGTGTACATAGTTTATACTACGTGACCCATAGGTTGACCGTTGCGGTGTAGGAGGAGGAGGTAGCCAACACTGTTTTTATATATATATATATATATATATATATATATATATATATATTTATATTTATTTTTTTAATTGGGGAGCCCCCAAAATACTAGAATAGGTCAGACTCATTTCAGCCGTAACCGGACATATAAAAAAAGAAAACTGTTCCGCAGAGCGACTGACCCGTGCATGCTGCATCTGAAACTCCACTATCGTCTGCTGCTGCTCACACAGTCTTATGAGGCGATGAGCGGGAAGGCCGAAGTTACGCTGCAGCGCAGACAGGCGAGCAGCAGCAGCAGGGTGAGAACGCCGAAAGTGCGCACAGACGGCCCGCATTTTCTGCAGCAGCTCTGATATATCTTGGTATACACCGTGGCGGTGTAGGTGGAAGCGGCGGTGGAGGAGGAGGCGGCAACAGGAGGCAAAGCTGTGTACCCAAATAAAGATTGTCAAACGTTGTATTCTGGAACTGTGTCCCATCCGGTTACTGCAGAAATGGGTCTGACCTATTCTAATCAAAGAGGATAACCATCGGTTAGCCAGGTCCCGCTTCAGTTGGTGGCAAGCGGCTGGATCCCATGTCCCTGCCAACAGACCCATGGACTACAGTGCTCTAAAGCGACCTACACTGCAGGACTTGTGTGGAGCCAGAGGAATAACGCCTGGTGGGCGTAACAAGGCCAAATTTACTGCTGTGCTCATGCAAGACTACCAGACATGCAATGAGGCAACGAACTCCAGCCAGGGGTCGGAGATGACGAGGAAGTGCACAAGGAGGTGGAACGGCGCCTGGCATATTACCGAGAGCCACCCTCAGAGGAGATTGTCAGCAGGACCTTTTTGGAGGTGCAAGCCTATGTCCTTGCCAATAGACAGAGGGCGACCTCCATGAACCCAGATGAAGGAAGAAGGGAGCAGAGGGCGCCGGGAAGCACAACCACCCTGGCCCACAAGTTACCATACAATGCCTTCAAAGACTTCAAGGAAGCAGAAGAAGACATCGACGACTTTTTACAAGACTTTGAGCGCCAGTGCCTACTCCAAGACGTGGAGCCCAGCGACTGGATCACCATCCTGGCCAGCAAACTAGTGGGGAAGGCAGCGAATATTTACCGGGCTGTACCAGAAGAGCAGATCAGAGACAATCCCTTTATTACACAAATCCTCCTGGCCCAGTATGCGGTCACCCCCGAGCAATACCGCCGAAAGTTCAGGGAGACCTGGAAAGGGAAGAAGGACTCCCATGCAGAGTGGGCATGCCGCATCACAAGGGCCACCCAGAACTGTCTCAACTCCCATCAAGCCAAGTTCCTGGAGGAGATCACCCAGATCATCATGCTAGAGCACTTTTTCAATGTGCTCCCCAACGACAAGGCGCCCAACGCATTCGTATGTCAATCCATATCAACTTTCGATGCCATTTACTGCGCCTACCATGGTGACCATGGGTAACAGGGAATCAGGGTTCAATTCCGTACAGGGACCCTGACAAACTGCTACCACATGCAAGGAAGGCAGCAGGCATGCAAATGACCCACTCCCAACGTGGGGAGGTAGTGACGACAAATAACAATACTCAGATATGAAGTGCACCCCACTAATGTACTAGTTTGCAGAATTCTTTCCCAATCTGTCCCTGAAAGCGGCAGCATCCTCTCCCTACACTAATAAGAGCTCATGTGATATGCGGCGCTACGCAACTCCAGCTTATATATAGAGGCTGGGTCACATGCTGAACTGGCCAAGCACAGCCATGCCATTAGTAGGCATGGCTGTGATGGCTTCTAAGGGCACACGAGTTAAAAGCTTGTTGATTGGCTGCCCTGCAGCCTTTGAAAACGCGCCATTAAATAGGGATCGACCGATTATTGGTTTTACCGATATAATTGGCCGATATTCGGTATTTTCAACAATATCGGTATCGGCCAATTCAGATACCGATATTGCCGATAATACCTCCTAGGACTGCCAGGCAAATTACAAGCCCGGCGGTCCTGGGGGGAGTGGGCAGCAAGCGCTTACTCACCTCCCAGCAGCTCCCCAGTGTAACTCTCGCGAGACCCGCGGCCGTGCTCCGTGCAACACTGCTGGGAGGTGAGTAAGCGCTTGCTCTCCGCCCCCCACCCAAAGCTCAGCCAATGCCACTGGACCACCAGGGACTGTCATATCCCCCCTCCCTGGCCAGGCAACAAGCAGGGAGTGGGGACAACAAAAATAATAATTAAATATTTTAAAAAAAATTTTTTAATAAAAAATGCCCCCTCACACACACACTCCATTATATACACATACACTACACAAACACACTGCATTATATACACACACACTCTGCATTATATACACACACTATACAAACACACTGTGTATATAATGCAGTGTGTTTGTGTAGTGTGTGTATATAATGCAGTGTGTGTGTGTAGTGTGCATGTATATAATGCAGTGTGTGTGTGTGTATACAATGCAGTGTGTGTGTAGTGTGCGTATATAATGCAGCGTGTGTGTAGTGTGTTTATATAATGCAGTGTGTGTATATAATGCAGTGTGTGTTTGCATAGTGTGTTGATAAAATGCACACTACACAAACACACTGCATTATATACACACTATACAAACACACACACTCTGCATTATATAAACACACTACATTCATTATATACACACACACACTACACAAACACACACACTTTGCATTTAGTATATACTGCATTCACTTTACGCACACTACCCACACACTACACAAACACTCTGCTTTCATTATATACACACTACACCCACTACACACTACACAAACACACACTGCATCCACACACACACTACACAAACACACTGCATCCACTACACACACTACACAAACACACACTGCATCCACTACACACACTACACAAACACACACTGCATCTACTACACACACTACACAAACACACACTGCATCCACTACACACACTACACAAACACACACTGCATCCACTACACAAACACATACAGCTCCCCTGTCTAAACACACTGCATCCACTACATGTTACATAGTTGAAAAGAGACTTGTGTCCATCAAGTTCAGCCTACCTTACATTTGTTTTTTGCTGTTCATCCAAAAGAAGGCAAAAAAAAACAGTTTGAAGCACAATTTTGCAACAAGCTAGGAAAAAAATTCCTTCTTGACCCCAGAATGGCAGTCAAATTTATCCTTTTATCAAGCAGTTATTACCCTACATTGAAAGATTATATCCTTGAATATTCTGTTCTTGCAAGTATGCATCTAGTAGCCGTTTGAACATCTGTATGGACTCTGATAAAACCACTTCTTCAGGCAAAGAATTCCACATCCTGATTGTTCTTACAGTAAAAAAACCTTTCCTTTGCCTTAGACAAAATCTTCTTTCTTCCAGTCTAAATGCATGGCCTCGTGTCCTATGTAAAGTCTGGTTTGTGAATAGATTTCCACACAATGGTTTGTATTGGCCCCGAATATATTTGTATAATGTTATCATATCCCCTCTCAGGCGACGTTTTCCTAAACTAAATAGGTTTAAATTTGTTAACCTTTCTTCATAGCCGATATGTTCCATTCCTTTTATTAATTTTGTAGCCCGCCTCTGCACTTTTTCTAGTGCCATAATATCCTTCTTTAGAACAAGTGCCCAAAATGGCACAGCATATTCAATATGGGGTCTTACCAGTGATTTATAAAGAGGCAAAATTATATTCTTGTCCCGAGAATGAATGCCCTTTTTCATGCATGACAATACCTTACTGGCCTTGGCCACTGCTGATTGACATTGCACATTGTTGCATAGTTTGTGTAACAAGAATATACCCCTACACGCAGGATCCAGCTAAACAGAGGCAAATACAGAGGAGAGATACGTCTACCGGACCTTAGAATGGCCGGACTTGACGTATATGAGAGAAGACAGAGCCAGGAACAAACCGAGGTCAAGGGCACAGAGAGACAGCGTAAACTAGGACAAGCGGGGGTCTGGTACACGGAAAACAGCAAGCCGGCAAACAGTACAGATAAGGATAAAGCGAAAACGAAGTCAGAATACGAAGCCAAAGTCAATACGAGAAAACACAACTGAATACCACAAGCGCTAAAGGGAACTGAAACAGAAACCACGATAGGGCAAGGAACAAAGGGAAGAAGGTGAGTATAAATACCTAAACATCTAATTTGATTGGTCCCTGTCACATCCACGCCCCCAAAAGGTAAGTGTATGGGGAGTGTGGTATGACAGGGACCAATGGGATGCCTTTTCCAATTTAGGCACCCACTGTCCCTTTAAGAGCGCGCCCGAGACTCGCGGCGCGCTCTTAGTTTCAGGCGGGACACGTGACCGCCTCACGCGGTCACTGCCCGCCCTCCATCCGAAGTAGTTGGATGAGCCGCGCGCGGCTTGTGCAGCCGCAGGACCGCGCGCGGCTTGAAGAGAGGACCGCGACCGGCCCCCGGTTAAGGTAAGTAACGCTACAGTTTGTTGTCTATAACTATTCCCAAGTCCTTTTTGTGTGTTGTTATCCCTAACTCGCTTCCATTACGGGTATACGTTGCATGTGTATTCTTTACACCAAAGTGCATAACTTTGCATTTTTCAACATTAAATTTCATCTGCCATTTGAGTGCCCAGTCCCCCAGTCTATCTAAATCCCTCTGCAGCAAAGTAATATTTTGCTCACATTTTATTGTTTTACAAAGTTTTGTGTCATCTGCAAACACTGAAACATGACTTTCAATGCGGTCTTCAAGATCATTTATAAACTTGTTAAATAGAAGGGGTCCCAGAACAGACCCCTGAGGGACACCACTTGCCACCTCTGTCCTGCTTGAAAATTTACCATTAATGACAACTCTTTGTACTCTGTTTTTAAGCCAATGTTCTACCCAAGAACAAGCATTTTCATCTAGACGATTTCCTTGAGTTTGAACACTAATCTATTGTGTGGAACTGTATCAAATGCCTTGGCAAAATCCAAATAGATCACATCCACGGCAACACCCTGATCTATACTTCTACTTACTTCTTCGTAGAACGCAATCAAGTTAGTTTGACATGACCTGTGCTTCATAAAACCGTGCTGATTTTTGCTGATAACCATGTTCTTCTCAAGGAATTCTTAATGTGGCATGTATATTTTGTGCATTTACCTTTAGAAATAGTTTTTATTTTCCAAAATGGTAAATGTACAGAATATCGGCAAATTATATTGGCTATCGGCCTGAAAGTTCACAGAGTATCGGTATCGGCTCTAAAAAATCAATATCGGTTGATCCCTACCATTAAGTCACCGAACTCCAACCCGAACATACACTGTTATGTCCGTGTTCGGGTCCGGGGTACAAAAACGTAATGTTCGGTACAAACCCGAACTTTAAAGTCCCGGTTCGCTCAACTCTAATTAAAACATTAAAAATGGTTTGACACTGAATGGAAGTACGGCACCAGGCGTCTCAAGACACTATAGCCACTTCAATGAGGTAAATGTAGCGTTACTCACCTTCTCCAGGGGCCGGCCGCGGTCCTCTCTTCAAGCCGCGCGCGGTCATGCTGCTGCACGAGCCGCGCGCGGCTCATCCGACGGCTCCACTAGCAAGGCGGGCAGTGACCGCGAGAAGCGGTCACGTGTCCGCTCTGAGAGCGCGCCGCGAGTCTCGGCGCTCTTAAAGAGACAGTGGGAGCCTAAATTGTCAAAAGGCTCCCATTGGCCCCTGTCATACCACACTCCCCATACACTTACCTTTTGGGGGTGTGGATATGACAGGAGCCAATCACATTAGTTTTGAAGCTATTTAAACTTACCTCTCCCTCTACTCCCTGCCCTATCGTGGTTTCTGTATCAGTTCCCTTTAGCGCTTGTTGTGTTCAGTTGTGTTTCTCCGTATTGACCTTGGCTTTGTTTCTGACTACGTTTTCTCTTTATCCTTCTGTTCTGGTTGTCGGCTTGTTGTTTACTGTGTACCAGACCCCGGCTTGTCCTAGTTTACGCTGTCTCTGTGCCCTTGATTTCGGATTGTTCCTGACTCTGTCTCCTCTCATATACGTCGAGTCCGGCCATTCTAAGGTCCGGTAGACGTATCTCTCCTCTGTGTTGTCTTCTGTTTAGCTGAATCCTGCGTGTTGGGGTATATTCTCGTTACAGTAAAGCATTTACAATTCCAACAGTGTCCCTTAAATTGGGAACAAATGAATGTTGATGAAATGTAACAAATTGATTCTTCCTCCTTGAATCGACATGCAAATTTTTAAGATATATTAAACAGTGTTTCATGCATTGAGCTTTCATATTTATGTTTACTTAAAACAAAATTAAATCCTCTGTAACAGTGCAATATTGTATATTTAATAATTCTAAATAATTCTAATTGTAGGCAGTTTATATATACCGTATGTTTTTCTATTTAGTATGAAATATTTAGAATTTAGATTTGATATACTGTTTTGTAATGTATGTACCAGATATTTTTATTTTTTTATTTTTTTTACCACATATCCACACCATGTTAATAAAAACATTATTTATGC